CATCCATTCTAAGATGGGCCTGTAACAAAGACTGTAAGTAAATAGGCCCAGACAAGCGCAGGTGGGGTACCAAACTCTGAAAAGAACTTTAGGTTTCCAGAGCTCTGGGATTTCAGAACAGCAGATTAGGGACTGTGGGCCTGTACTATTGTATAAAATAATTTGCAAACGAGGAAACAGAGGCTTAGAGGGTCTCAGAGCCAGGTCTGCCCCTCATTCTGGTCTAAGGCAGTACCATGGCTGGGAATCTACACCAGGCATTTAAGACTCTCTCCTATCACTTAATTTTTATTTCCCATTTCCCACAACAAAAGACATCCTAAATATATTTAACTGGCACTCAAAATAAATGAAAATAAATAAATTTTCAAACTCCCATGCTCTGAGCTATCCCTGGAGCAAGGTATGAAGGAGATGACCACACCATCACCATGATACAGTTACATATTATCTTACTAGGCACTAGAGGACATATTTTCTCTTTCCACAAAATACCATTAATGTCATCAAACAGTCCAGTTCATTCAGCCCCTCGTTCTGCCTCTAACAAGGCCCCCCAAAAGTCATTCTTTATGACATAAGGACACCCTTAATTGCTCGGACTTTCCTTCATAATGTGTAAGAGCTAAATCTTTTAAACCTTATGGCCCTATAAACATGTTTGGCCTATTCTACCACTCAGGTTAGATGAGCCTTACTCCCCACTGGGCAAAGGGAAGCATTCTTTCTTTTCTTTCTTTATTTTTTATCATTGACAGTATTACAAATGTCCCCCATTTCCCCCCTTGACCCCCTCCGCCCAGCCCCTGCCCTCACCCTAGGCCTTCACCACACTATCTTCTGTGTTTATGGGCTATGCATATATGCATATAAATAATTTGGTTCATTCCCCCAGGCTTCTCCTCTCTAAGATCTGTCAGCCTGTTCCTTGCATCCATACCTCTGGACCTATTCTCTTCGTCAGTTTATTTTGCTCATTAGATTTCTTACCCTTTGCGGCAGCATGGATGGACCTGGAGATTATTATGCTAAGCGAAATAAGCCAGTCAGAGAAAGACAAACAGCACATGATCTCACTTATATGTGGAAGCATCCTTTCATCTGCCCTATAATTACTTTCCAGTTCGGAGGTTTGGGAAGAAAGTTCCAGACAGCAACCATCGTCACAGCCTATGTCATCTTCGTGATTCCTGTCTTCTCACAAAGCCCCTGCGCATTTGCTTTCTCACTTGACCCTAAGGTGATGAAACTAATGTGATACTGTGGTCTGTGGTGATTTCCACATTGGAGGGAGAGTTGTGGATAAAATAATAAGTAATAAATACACAGAAACCCAAACAAACAAGGACAATTAATTACTCCAGGACTGACAAAAACTTATGCAGGGAAGGAAAAGATATCAAAGTATAGTAGGGGTTCAACTGCCCCTAGCATTTATAGGGTCATGACCAAGTTGACATTGAGTCCAGAGATAAAATTCTGAGGATAGGAGAGGGAAAGTGTTTGCCATGGGGGTGGGAGGGACACACGTGTGAATGAAAGCTAGATCTTCCATTATGGCAGGTTCATAATAATGGCCATAATGAAGGCAGTTTAAAGAAATGAAACTGGTGTTTCTGGGAAGCATGAAATGGCTGGAGAAGGAGAAAGATCTGGGCCAGGAGAAGGCTGGTTTTTCATAACAAACCTGTGTAACAATCTAACTCCTGTAACTATGTACAGGAATACTGTTAATGAAAATAAAATCATTCAACTAGTCATGGGCACAGCCACGACCCAAACCTGTGTTCTGACCTGGGGCCACTGTCCTTCCCTCCCATCTGCACCCTTGCTTCAGCCTAGACAATTCACCCAGCATGTCCTCTGTCATCTCAGCAGTCATCTCTGAGCCAGCCCTGGGCCACAATGTCTTTCTTGTACAGATTCCTCCAAGCCCGAAGTCTCGCCTTGGCCTGTGCAAAGGCAGGCCAGTGTGTTCAGGTCATAGCCCAGGAACACATCCTGAGATTGCCCGGTAAGTCTTCCTGCAGTTCTGCACACGACCCTGTGCAACAGCACACCTGAAAATCCAGAGCGTGTCCTCATCCTGATGATCCTCGACTCAGGCCTTGTCAGGAACAGATAAACCAGGAGACCTATTCTGTGCCAAATAATGCATTAGCCCCCGAACTTTGATGTTACTAAGAACTAGTAAGAGAATGATAATAAGAGCTGATATTCCGAGTGCTTGCTCATGGAAGGCAACGCACTGAGCATTTTACATGTATTATGTCACTTGATCCTTTCATCAACCTTATGAAGTAGGTATTTTTTGTTTGTTTACCATAGATGTTCTTTCAACAGTTCTCCACTTCATTGATTCAGAGTAACATATGCCAGCCAGTGTCTCTGAAAGCAGTTTCCCTGGGACCCACAGCAGGTGAACTGTCTGGCTCTAAACCCATGGTCATTGCCTCTAGAGCCTTGGAGCACAACCTGGACTCAGACACAAGCCTGGGTCTGCCTCAAATCTGGGCAATGACTTGCAATATGGACCCTGGGCAAGTTACTTTCTTTTCTAATCCTTACTTTCCTCTAGGAAACTGGATTGAATCAAAGATCATACCTCAGATAGTAACAAGAACCAGGTAGGTAAGGTCAATGCAGGAAGCAGGCTAATAGAAGACAACAGAGAGTGGTGGAGACTGTGGAAAACCAAAGTATTTATGCCCTGGTTATAGGTTTCAGATTTATTTTTATTTTTTTATCCTCACCCGAGGATTTTTTTTTTTTTTTGCATTTATCTTCAGATAGAGTGGGAGGGAGAGTGGGAGGGGGAGAGAGAGAGAAACATCGATGTGAGAAAGACACAATGAGTGGTTGCCAACCACACGATCCCAACCAGGGCCGGGGACAAACTACAACTGAGGAGGTACGTGCCCTTAGCGGGAACCAAACCTGGGCCTCTCTGGTCCAAAGGCTGACGCTCTAACCACTGAACAAAACTAGCCAGGGCTCAGGTTTATTTATTTATTTTTTAATTAAAGAAACACACATGTGGCTGCCAGCTTGAATCTCTAATATTCATTTCAGTTCAACATTCCCCAAGTCAAATAGATTTTAGTAGGCTGGGCCATAGGTCTGCTGCAATGGCATCATTTTAGACATTCCGTGTGTCCTCTGATTTAGTGTCAAAGAACTGTTCTGGAAATTATATTCTGTATATGCTACAACGTAGGTCTAGTAGGCTAACTCTGGGAAAGCTAACACAGGATGAGAAGGCACTGAAAAGCTGTGCAGTGCACGGCCTGTGCAGATGTACCAGTCCTAAGCACACAGCAGAAGATGGTGCCTGGGCAGAAGTGACCAGCTGCACTGTAACTTTTCCGAGTGAGTGACTTCGAGGGGCCAGTTCTTCAGGGGGACGTAGGCCCACATCTGACCAACACAGAAGTTACCCATAAAAACTGAGTGCAGCCAAGAGGAAAGGTCTCTTAGGGTTGAGAAAGCCAAACAGAATTCAGTGTGGAAGCTAAGAATCAGCACAGCAGAGCTGGAATAACAAGGGCCAGGTGTTGTCAAAAGGCAGCCAACCTGACACGGCTGCTACCTCGGTTACTGCACTGTCACGGAATCACCAATTCTCTAAGCCTTTGGGGTAATGTAGTCAGGGTCTACACCCTGACTGAAGACTTATAGAGGGTAGGGAGCATGGCCAAAGAAAAAACCACTGCCAGAAACAAGCCTACCCCATGCTTAATTCAGTGCTCCAGGGGCTCCTGGCTGCTCTGCAGCTAAGCCTGGGAACACTGGGACATTCCAGACCACCACTGTGGGCCTCAGTATCAGGACACAGCAGGCCCACCCTGAGGGGAAGCCAATCTTTTATTCCCACATCTGCTTGCTTCCTGACCTTTAAGTCAGCTCTCCTTCTAGCAGAGACGCCATCAAGATCCTATAGTAATACGGGATTTCCCATCCATTTTTTTTTTTTTTAGAACATTTATTTAGAAAGTCACAGAGGGCCCTGGTTGGTGGGGCTTAGTGGTTAGAGTGTTGGCCCACACACCGAAGGGTCATGAGTTTGATTTATGGTCAAGGGCATATAACTGGGCTGCAGGTTTGATCCCAGCCACGGTCTGGGCATGTGTGAGAGGCAACCACTCAATGTGTCTCATATCTATGCTTCTCTCTCTCTCTCTCTCTCTCTCTCTCTCTCTCTCTCTCTCTCTCTGTCTCTCTCTCTGTCTGTCTCTCTTTCTCTCTGTCTGTCTCTCTGTCTCTCTCTCTCTCTCTCTCTCTCTCCATCCCTCCCTCCCTTTTACTCTATCTAAAAATCAGTGGACAAAATATCCTTGGGTGAGGATTAACAAAAAAGAAAGTCACAGAGGTAGAAGAAGTGAGCTGTAGAAGAAATGGGCTCAGGAAACAAGTTTCAGAGGCAAAGGAAGGTTAGGAGAGAGAAAGGGAAAGGTAACACACTCAGAGGGAAGAGGAGGGGGAAGGGAAAGGTGCAGGTGTGCTCCCAAGAGGAAAAGCCTCCCACCCACTTTTTAAAATAGACAGCACAGTACTTCATCAAAAAAACTTTTTTTAAGGTTCAGTAAATTATATCTGTGATCCTCAAATTTGGAAGTGCACCAAAGAACTCCATGGCCCAGCAGGAAAGAATGTTTTGAATAGGCTGCTGAATTGTTTTTCCAGGATAAAACTTCTGTGAATATGTGCCAAGTGTGGAAACCTAATGTTTTATCTGTGACCACAATGAGCACAAATGAAATAGCAAGTGTCCCTCTAGGTTTAGAAGAGTGGCCCATCTGTGCATCGAGGCATTGGCTCCGTGAGGCCTCTTGCCCCGGAGCTTAAGTTACCTGTTATCATCCCGCAGTAGGTTTTACTGCTGCCATAACAAATTACCACAAATTTAGCAGTTTAAAACAACATCCATGTAACATCTCACAGTTCTGTAGGTCAGAAGGCCAACTCGGTCTCACTGACTAAACTCAAGGTGTTTACTTTACTGGAAGTTCTGGGGAAAATTCTCTTCCAGGATCATTCCAGTTGTTGGCATAATCTAATCCCTTGTAGTTAAAGATCTGAGGTCCTGTACCCTTAGCTCCTACAGGTCTCCCTCCAGTCCTTGCACGAGGGCACCTGCATCTCAGAGCCAGAAACGGCATGTCGACTCCTCCTCACACATGCATTCTCTCTACCACATCTCTCTTCTGCCTGCAGCCTAAGAAGGTTCTCTGCTTTAAAGGGCCTGTATGATTAGACTGGGCCCATCTGGATAACCCAGGCTACTCTCCCTATCTTAAGGTCCTTGGTTATATTTGCAAAGCCCTTTGTAGCATGTACAGCTTCAATAGGTGGTGCATTGTTCTGCTTATCATATCCCATTTCACACTTCTGAGCCACAGAAGGAACACCTAAGGGCCAACCTATGGACATAGATCAGAAATACTGCCTCTTAGTCCACTGGTTCTGGGTGTACCATGACTGAATGTGGAAGTCTTTCTCTGTAAATATGTCCTTCCCACTGAATTCTCCACTCCTAAAACACACTCACCTTTGTCCTACCAGTGTTGCCAAAACTTGTTTTCAGTTCAGTGTGACACAGATCAAATACATTCTCCTTCCTTGAAGCAGGAATGCAGCCTATTCCATCTTCTGTTAAGAGTAACAATCACATGCAATCAGGTCCTTAATACTCATCATTAGCTCATTCGGCAAACACTTACTGAGGTCCTACTGGGTGCTGAACACTGTGTTTGGGGCGGAGAGACCTCCAAAGAAAGGCTAAGCTACAGGGAAGCTCACAGTCCATTGTGGGACACCCACTCAGAGAAACACATTAACACAGAAACACAAAGAAATACCATCCAATAAATTTGCCTGGAAGAGTAGGGGAAAACTTCCCAGAGAACGGGCCATCAGAGGTGAGACTTAAAGGATGAAGAAGAGTTTGGCAAGTGGATAAAGTGGAAGAGGCATTCTAGGCAGAAAAGAATGGCACTGCCTGGAAAAACACAGAGGAGTGGAACGGGGGGCTATGTTGGGAGAACGTCAAGGGCTTGGTAAGGCTGGGCTGCAGGGGAGGGGAGTGGCAGGACATTAAAGCTGGCAAAGTTTGGCTCTGTGTCATGCCAACAAGCTTGGGTTTTAGCTTCAAGTAATGCATAACAAACAGGTTTTTAAAACATGAAGTCATACAAGCAGTTGTGCCTTTTAAAACAGAACTCAGAACTCAGAGAGCCAAGGACAGGGTAGATCTCGAGAGGGTAGAGACTAGACTGCAGGAAGGCCAGCTAAGCCATGTAATAAATGGTTCGGGTTAGAGATAAAGGGCTGAAATAAGGCAGAGGCAGTGGTGGTGGGTGAAGTGGGAGTGAGATGGGGAACTATCAAGGAGACATCTACACCAGGACTCTGTGATGAGCTGCAGGGGTGTATACTAGAGGGGTGTCAAGCGTGACCAGGAGAATTTCAGCTGGAATGGCCAGGGATGGTTCATAAACTGAAATTCTCGAAATCTGAGAACAAAGGAGAATGATCAAGTTTGTGGCAGGAGACAGAGTTCAGGTTTAGGTGTGTTGGGTTTTTTAAATCAGCAGCAATGGGCCCAAACTTTACAGGGAGGTCCCATCCTGGAATAAGGATCTCAAAGGAAACAAGATCTCCAGTCACGTCCAAGCATGAGTCAGGGAGCTGACGTTCAATAGGAAGGAAGCTGACGGTCAGAGAACTGCCCACAGTTACGTCAGAGGGCTGGTCTCTTTAGGGTTCTTCTTGGTGGTTCCAAATGTGCTCATGAGAACTCCAATTCACAGTTAGCTCATCAGGGTTCACGGTTCAAAACTGGGACCAAAAATGGTTGACGCTCATTCAGTTCTTTATTCAAAGTACTTTATCCTTCATTCCCCATACCCTTTATGAAGAGTCGCTCAGGGCTAGAGACTGTGCCAGGAACCTGAGGTTATAAGATGAACAAGCAAGGCACTCAACATAGATTTTTTGAATGCCTACCAAGTGCCAAGCCTGGAGAAGTGGAGCCCTGGGCTGACCTATTATTCTCGGGGAAGCTGCCCTGGATCTTGCTCAGAGAAAAAACACACACAGCTCATGCCTGTGTTTCGGAAGGATTATGGAAAATGGGAGGGAAGAATATAGCATCAAGACACATCCAAGGAAAACCAAACAGAGAAAGCATTTGCTTCCAGCCCAAAAGGGGAAAGGGGACATATGACAGGAGAATAAGACATAATAACACACAGAACAACTGCACTGTGGGCTGGCCTCATGGACCACACAGCCAAAGAGCTCAAAGAACCTCTGTCAGAAAGTCAGCATTTCTGCCATGTTCCCAGGTGACATTCCCCAAGCTCCCAGATTCTCATAGCAGCTCATTATAGTTCCATTATGCATACTTTGATCTAAATCTCTGCAACATGAGCTGAACTTGAGGTTGCATTCCAAAAGTCCACTACCCAGGTCTTTGCTTTTAGTCAAATGTGCTTCTTTTGAGCCTGGAGATACACTTTTTCTCTCATTCTCTCCTTTGAGAACTTTTCACCACCTAATTTATTTTGTATTTCACAGACATCCTGAGCCTTAGCTGGTGTAAAGCCATCTGCTAGACGCTGGGGCAACTGGCTAAAAGCTGAGTGAGGAACTTAGAGCCCATCTGCCACTAAGGAAGGTAGACATAAAACAAATGAACGGAAGCCAAGGGCAACATGCTAAGTGTGGGTTAATGATAGGTCTCAACTTCCCGGCTACATGTTACAGCAGTGCTCGGAAGATGCTTGTGTATGCATGATTCATAACGCAAAAGCTTTCCAGTTCTAGGGCAGCATCAGAAATGCTTTCACAGGCTGTATTTGAAAGAGACCTCAAATATGTAAGTGGCAGGTTCTTAGCCTCCTCAAGACACTGTCTTCTATGCATTAGGAGGAGTTTTTTAACCTTTTATATTTTGAAATGACAGTAGAGGTAACTGCACAAAACTAAAATGTACAGTTAATAAATTACCATAAACCACCACCCAGGCCAATAAACAGACTGATGGCAGCATCTCAGAAGCTCCCTTTCACTAACCTCCCAATCACTAACCTCCCCTGCACCCAAGGACAGTATTTTACCTGGACTTTTAATGTCATCATTCCCTTAATTCTTTAGCTTTGCCTGTTTTTAATATTTTTCTTTTTTCTCTTTCTCTTCCATTCTACCCTAGATGATTCCTTCAGTTTGTCTTCTCAGTCATTGTCCACAGGACTCTCAAAAGCTGTAGGAATATGCAGGCGCAGACTCAAGGCCCAACTTTCTCTCCAACATCGTGGACAGGACTGTACATCATGGGGTAGAGCCTTGTGCTCCTCTATGCCCCTTGGACAGAGCCCGAGGGAGAGTGACCTCTGGAGGGTATCCACATTGGAGCTTTGCCTGTTTTTTTAATCCTGATACAAATGGAAGCATACAGAAGTTGTTTTTTTGGGCCTGCTTTTTTTGTAAGATTCATGCATGCTGTTGAGTGTAACTATATTTTACTTATTTTCTTTATTGTAGAGTATCTCAATGAGAGACTATATCACAATTTATCCATCTATTGTCGATGGACTTTCAGATTGTTTCCAGTTTGGGGCTATTACAAATATGATTATGAATATTCCTCTTGGTGAATGTTCCCGTTCCTCTTGGTGTATGCATTTCTGTTGAGTATGCAGCTACAGTAGGACTGCCGGGTTATTGAGTGTTTTCCAAAGCAGTCACACCACTGTACAGCCCCATCAGTAGTGCATGGGATCTTCATACTTCACATCCTTGCCAACACTTGACATTGTCGGGTTTTTTTCATTTTTATTTCAGCCATCCTGATGGGCACGTAGTGGATCATATTGTAACTTTTAGTTTGCATTTCCCTGATTACTAATGAAGTTGTGCATCTTTTCATATGCTTATTAGCCACTTGTTAATTCTCTTTTGTGAAGTTTCTCCTATTTTTCTATTAGGTTGTCTTTTTCTTTTTTTTAATAAGTTTTTTACATGTTATAGATACAGGCCCTTTGATGGTTATGAGTGTTACAAAAATCTTCTGGGAGGAATTCAAATATCCAAGTAAGTCAGCAGAGAAGGGCCTAGGGGGAAAAAAATCTCTGTACCTTTTCTAACTTAGCAGCCCCAGACCACACTTCAGCTTTTTATTTTTTATTTTTTTTTTAATCCTCCACAGAGGACTTTTTTTTTTTTTTTTTGCCTTTATCTTCAGATAGAGTGGGAGGGAGGGATAGAGGGGGAGAGAGAGAGAGAGAGGAGAGGGAGAGAAACATCGACATGAAAAGGACACATCGAGTGGCTGCCACCCACACAACCCAACCAGGGCCGGGGACAAACTGCAACCGAGGTGCATGCCCTTAGTGGGAACCGAACCCGGGTCTCTCTGGATCTCAGGCCAACGCTCTAACCACTGGCCAAACTGGCCAGGGCCACACTTCAGCTTTAAAGGGAGATATGAAAATGAAAGTTTACAATTTGAGATCAGACTCACCAGGTTCAAGCTTCAGATCAGCCACTTCCTGAGTGCCGTTAGGGCAAGTCACTTAAGCCTCAGTGTCCACACTTGAAAACTGACCACAATAACCTACTGCATAGTTGTTCTGTGGCTAAAAAAAGGTTATGTGCAAATGTTTTAGTTAGTTGTTACAAACAGTGTTAGCTGTTAAATCAGAAGCCATCAACCACACTCACTTCCTAGTCCATCCAGACCAGCTTCCTGAGCTGTCCCATTGCACTAATAGTAGAGGCAACAGCAGCAACCTTTCAGATCCCAGTTCTCTCTTCTGATGTCTGAGCCAGAGGACACCTTCATTCCCCATCCTTCTCCCTGAATGGTACTGCCCACAGCTGGGAACAGGGCTCCTCCCTGCTTGCCTGGGCAGGAAAACAGGAAGCAGCCCTCACCCTGCCAAGAGGTGTGGCTGACAAGTTCTCCTTCCTAGGTGGGCATCTCTCCAGGCCATCAACCCTCAGGATGCAGGCGAAGCACTGGCCCCCAGCCCGCTGCACCCTGCACCAGGCTGCTCCCTGCGCCAAGCCCAGGTCTCTGCACTTTGTTCCGAGGTGGTGAAGTATGCCAACAGATGGGGAGCTTAAACAGGCCCTCATCAGTGCCTTACAGGCAAGAAACCCTTTCAGTGCCCAAGTAGCACTAGGGATCCTCTCTTCTGGGCCACACAGCCACTCCCCATCCCTTCCTGAAGTACAGCAGTGTCCTCTCCTGAGCTCCACGTCACTGGAACCTGGGTCCCATTCCATACACGGGGGGCATTTGGAAATTTTTCAAGCCAGCAATTGAAAGTTCAGAAGAAATGCACATCCTTATTCCACGATGTGAAAGCCTGTGGACAGGAGTTTTATAAGCTAAAATATTTGAGAGCTGGAAAAACCTTCAGAAATCTTTTCCAGACTCCTGAATTTTGAAACAAGAAATTCACATTTTCGCCCAGGGATGGCTCTCATATTTCTCTGCACTCATCCTAATACCTCTTATGCCCTGCAGCAAACTCCAGCACCTGCACACGGCCACTGCCATTAGCCACATCCAGGTGCCTGGTACACTAGGCCAGTCACTCTCCCTTCTTGGTAATATCTTGTAGCTCAGAAAAGTCCCATCGGAAGCCCATATTTTGGGAATGATTATAAAGTATGCCAAACTTGCCCTGGCCGGTTTGGTTCAGCGGTTAGAGCGTCGGTCTGCGTTCCAGAGAGACCCGGGTTCGGTTCCCGCTAAGGGCAGGTACCTCGGTTGCAATTTGTCCCCGACCCTGGTTGGGCCCTGCAGGAGGCAGCCACTCGATGTGTCCCTTTCACATCGATATTTCTCTCTCTCTCTTCCTCTCTCCTTCCCACTCTTTCTGAACAAAAAAATGGAAAAATGTCCTCGGGTGAGGATAAAAAAAAAAGTTTAGCTCTGGCCGGTTTTGCTCAGCGGTTAGAGCATCAGCCTGCAGTCCAGAGAGACCCGGGTTCAGTTTCCGCTAAGGGCGCGTACCTCGGTTGCAGTTTGTCCCCGGTCCTAGATGGGTCGTGAGGGTGGCAACCACTCAATGTGTCTTTTTCATGTCGATATTTCTCTCTCTTTCTCTTCCTCGCTCTCTCTCCCACTCTATCTGAACAAAAAATGGAAAAATGTCCTCGGGTGAGGATAAAAAAATAATTAAAATAAATAAATAAAGTATGCCGAACTTGCCCAGCCGGTGTGGCTCAGTGGTTGAGTGTCAACCCATGCACCAAGAGGTTGCCAGTTCAATTCCTGGTCAGGACACATGCCCAGGTTGTGGGCCCTATCCTCAGTGCAGGGCATGCAGGAGGTGGCCCGTCAATGTTCTCACTCATCAATGTTTCTATCTCTCTACCCCTCTCCCTTCCTCTCTCTCTAAAATCAATAAAGAAAAAAATAATTTAAATAAATAAAGTATTCCAAACTTTACAGAAATTAAAATAATTGACCTTCAGCCCAAATTCTGTGTCTAGACTCTGCAGGCTTTGTCCTAAATGGGCTCTCCAGCCTAGCTCTCAGGAGCTAGGCAGGGACTTCCATGGCGCCCTGGGTGGCACACAGGGTGGAAACTTAGAAAGACTCATTAGAGAAATCAAAGGAGAGAGAGGGAGAACCTCCAAAATGTGCAAAGGAAAAGTGCTCTGAAAGAGGGGGCCTGCCTCAGTCCCCAGGCTCCCTGAAGACCCTCCAACTGTTTTATGTTCACACGTTTGGCAAACAGGCCATATTACCTGCCTTATGCAAGGCCCTGAGACCTAGACCCTGCCCCCAAGAGCTTACAGCCTAGAAGGGAAGCCAAGATGTGGGCTTGCTTGGATGAATGGGAGAGACATACAGTAGCCAATCACTTCAGTACATGATCTAACAGGAACCAGACTGCAGGGGCTGTCGAGAGGTAGGAGGCAGTGTAAGTTAAGGCCTGAAAAGGATAGGGACTAGGGACACTGATGGTGCCCCATTATGCAGGGTCTCTGGAGGGCCGGCAAAGGTACTTGTAAACAGGGAGTTATAGAAGCCATGTTGGGCTCTAGAGACAATCCATCTAGCACCAGGCTATTTGGGGGACAGGGAGGATGTGTTATAACAATGCAGACACGTAATAAGGGCAGAAACAGTGAGAAGCAAAGAACAAGAGAAATGTCACAGAACAGAATGTGACTATGAGGGCAAGAGGGAAGGAAGACTCAGAACTAACTGATGCTAGGGAAATGATGGGGACCAGACACAAGCATTCCGAGGCTGACGAGGCCCAAGTTGAGTTTGGGGCTTGTGTGGTTTACCTGAGGGTAAATGTCCTATAGGAAGTGGTCACTCAGGCTAGGAAGTCAGGAGAAAGAACAGAAACCATCAGACGGTGGTGAGGGCACAGGAAGGGGGGTGAGGATAGCGCCTTGGGGACCCCAACCATTAGTGAGAGGAAGGAAGAAGACAGCCAGAGGGGGACAGCAATGACTCAGGGATGCAAATTGTGTAAGGTCAGGCTCTGTGACTGGTTTTCCTGGGTCTGAGTCCCAGTTCTGTCACTTACTTCAGAACCTTGAGCTAGTTATTAACCCCTCTTAAGCCTCAATTTCTTCATCTATAAAAATAGGGATTAAGCCTGGCTGGTGTGGCTCAATGGTTGAGCACTGACCCATGCACCAAGAGGTTGCCGGCTCGATTCCCAGTCAGGGCACATGCCCAGGTTGTGGGCCAAATCCCCAGTGGGGGGTGTGCAGGAGGTGGCCAATTGATGTCCTCTCTCATCGATGTTTCTATCTCTCTCTCTCTCTCTCCCTCCCTTCTACTCTCTCTAAAACCAATAAAGGAAAAAAAGTTTAAATAAATAAATAAATAAATAGGGATTGTAATTCATAAATGTGTTGTAAGAATTGAAAGGGGTAGCTCATGTAAGGCCTTTACCAATGGCACATAGTAAGTGCAGTAAATGTTGCCGATTCTCATTAGTATGAGTGGGAGGAAACCAGAAGAGTACAAACCATGGATACAAAGAAAGTTGTTAGCGTTCTTTCTATATTTTCAATACCAACTAAGGGAGCAAGGAGGAGATAGGGGTACCTTTTATGTAAGAAACCATTCCTGTACCTCCATGGTTGAGAACCACTGACCCCTCTAGTCAGCCCTTAAATTTCTCAGCTGATGAATCAAAGGCTGAGCATATGCTGAAGATCATGAATAGGGTAGCAGAAACACCCTGACTTAAACATGGAGAAGAGGACTTGGCTATCTGATTTTAAAGCCCTGGCTTCTCTCTTTACTCACTGTGTGACCTTGGACAAGTCACTTGTCCTCTCTCAGCCTGAGCTATTAAATAGGCTAATGGATAAAAATCACCTAACATGTTCCTAGTACCCAGCAGGCCCTCAGTAAGTATTTGT